AAACTAAACAGCCTACAGTATTTTCACAGTCTTTATTTTACAGTTAAATATATGTTTATCAAATAAAGTCTAATGTTACAACTAATTGGGGATCCCTTTAAGAAAAGTTTTTCTGAAGTTTTAAAGTAAAACACAAAGCAACGCAACGCGGCYACGCTGTAGCTCGGCGTGAGAACAGTTTTGACACCTCCCTGCGTTACCGTGAACTGTCCACGAGGCAGAAAAAGAACCGAACGGTGGGAGAAACCCCTCCTGACGGCCTCCGGCTCTGCAGCTTCTCTGCCTCTTTTCAAACAAAATCACAAAAACATATTTATTCTGAGGAGGAACAAGCAGCCAGTTGTTTCTCCTGTAGGTCGCGGATGTGTTTTAAGAGATTTAGCTCCGGTAGGTTTGAAAACTATTGTCAAGAACGGTGAAGGGGAGGGAGTGTCAGATCCCCTAGGCCGGTGAGGAGATGTCTTTTTCTTTAAAGCATCAGATCAGAGGTCAGACTTCAGCCCACGCTCACCTCCTCCACACACACTGTATACACACACACACACACACACACACACACACACAAGTACAGTATGCTTCAATCAGCCTGCAAACCCCTTTCGTCAAGTCTGCTCTAGCATTATCACACTCCTCCTACGCACCGGAGTACACTGTACGTGCAAGTAAAGACCCAATATGTGCAAAAGGGCACGCTGCACACGAGCCACAGTCACAAGAATTTCTTTAGGTGAGAGTAAAAACAGAATTTCTGCCACGACCGAGAGGTGTTGCACTCTGGCCTGGGTCTGTCAGAAAAAAAAAATTCATCAAAAGAAACGAGCAAAAGTGAAATGTGAGGCATGAGTGTGAAGAAGGAAGAGGTGCGTGTCGATAAATTTGCCCCACGCCGGCTTTTAGACACAAACAGGCTGGAAGAGGCGAGTGAAGACGGAGGCAAAGCTAAACATTACTGACGCTTTAAAAAAAAGGATAAACAACCCGCCGCAGGCTCCGCCCACAATGCCTGTAAGTAAATAATTAAGTTGTTAGGTTTAAAAGGAGCAAAGAAATCAGCAGAGATGGAAGATGGTAGATGAT